CCAGCTTTGAAACGTCCCAGTCTTTGTCTACAGTGTCAAACAAATCAGATTTTACAAGTTCATTCTGTATTCAGGTGAGGAAATGAAGTAGTTACTCAGTTATTTTAAGTACCACTTTTGACTCATGGTATTTCATTTTCTTTTATCTACAATGGGGATTAAACAGTGTTTCCTCTCACTTCTACCCATCTTCTTTTGCTTATTCAGATTGCTGTAATTTGCAGTAAAAAGGGTGTTCCATGAGATGTACAAACAACATCAATCTTGGCTTTCTAGCCTAAGATTTAGGATGATACCTTATGTATCAGATGATGTGTTTATCCTGTGGTTTGATTGGATCAGATGGAGCTGACATGTTTTCTTCCTTCACTTAAATTCCAGCTCTAGTTTGAAAAATGATGGAATGATTTTTTTTTCCTTTTACTGAGAGTTGGCAGACAAATCTTAAGAGTAGCCAGGTACAATTTAGGTCTAAAAAGAGGACTTCAGGAACTAATGGTTTCAAAGAGCAATCTGGTTAAGAAACATTTTGACAGAAGCCAATGATAACTTTTTAAAAGAACATACAGTTTTACTGCAATATCAGAATTATTTAAGGAATGTAGAAATAATTTTCTGTTTTCATTCAGAGAACTGAACAGGTAAGAATGTTCACACACAATCCACGGGATATTTTCTATGCATGCCATGCTACTAATGGCTGCTATATTTTTTGTTGATTTTTCTCTTTTTCATTGAAACCACAGCTCCTGGTTGTTCTGATATTTTCATAGTTGTCAGAATTCTATAAGCTGAAAGCATTACATTGAAATTACTCAAAAAAAAAAAAAAAGCCCAGAAACAATCTTGTAACAGCAGAGCCTTGACATCTTCCCACAACCTCATGAATATATGTCACAGGAGAAATTAGTAATTAGTTCTGTCCTATAATAATTTTTCCATTTTGAAGGAAGCATATTAACATATCAGCAGAAAAGATATGGAAAATTTCAGAGTGTAGGGGAATAGAGCTGTTTTTTAATACCTGACTTCACCACGTGGAGCTGTGTTGGACGGTACAGCTGGTTCATCAATTTTTATCAGGGGTTCTGCAATTTCAGCTTATTTTTCTTACCTAGTCTTTATCCATCAGAGTTCAAGTATAAAGTGCAAGAGTCCTTGAGGCTACTTGCTTTTAGGAACAAAGAACTACTGAAAAATTCCAAGCATATCTCCCCTAACTAGGCTGGAGCAGATAGAGAATATGCTGTCTAGCCAAGCACAGTATGATTGTCTGTCAGAAAACCCCATGTCTTTAGCAGCAAAATCATTTCTCTCACATCTAATGCTGAGAAAATCCCCAGACAGCTTTTTTTTTCCCCCTTTCCTATTCACCACAATTAATAGAATTAGTTACTAGCTACAATTAAAAAGTTACTGTGCCAGGTTCTATCACCAGATTTGCTCTTGCTTTTGTTGCTGCTGACAATGGCCACAGAATAAAACAGACACTGGTAAAAGAGAGTTTTCAGCAGGTTTGTATTTACCCTCTGCCTGAACTGGATTATATGTTCTTTCATGTAATATTATAGAACATATTATATGTTCTTTCATATGGCATGAAGGCTAAAGGTAAAACAAAGATTCTCACTTGTGTGCTTAAGAAAATATGTGCTAAATCAAACCATTCCTGTGAAATATGGGTGCCTGTGCTGCTTTGCAGGAAAACACAAAGTTTGGCTTTGTTTGTTCACAGTGTCACTACAGACAACGGAGTTGTGCTTTGAACATCTCAAATACCATCAAATCACAAATACCAGTAAGATTCTCAGAGCCAGTATATAAGGTGTTGGACAGAAAAAAAGAGCAAATTATTTAACTTAGGGAGTGACTAGAGCAGCTGTCACATTACACTGCACCTATGCTGCTCCATCACCTTGGGGCAATGAGAACTCTGAAAAATAAAACATGAATTGCTGACATCTGTGAGAAGACAAAAAGAAAAATGAAGAGATGCCCCAAGTCATAGTGCAATTTCTCAGCTCAAAAACCATGTGTGACAGAGCACAAAAATGGTACCCCAGACATTTCTGGTAGATTCACAAGAAGATCAAACTCCACATCTAAAAATTCAGTATCAACAGCAGACTGTGAAATATGGATATTGATCAGGCACCCACCTTGGCCCTCACTTCACACACTGAGACCTGTTCTTCTGCTTTGTTAACCCCATCCAGCACCTCTGTCACCTACCCCAGTCCATATTTCTGCTTGTTAAGACTGGGGCCTTGAATAATTCATTTTGAAAGAACAAAATCATAACATAATTCACCTCCAAGGAGATGTGAGAGCTCTGCAGGTCTGTGCAGAACTTGTGCCTTTGATGAAGGGACAGAGATGATGGGAAAGTCTGGCACATGCGACTAAGAGAGGAATTCTAAAAATTACATTGAACAGAATACATTACTGAAGAAAGCTAACTGGAGAAATTACCTGTGAAAATGGACACTCCAAAGTGCCACATTTTTGTGATGGAAATCAAAGCATACAGGAAAAAATTTTCAGACTGCACTCCACACAGTGATATTGGGGTAGGTTGCCATATATCCACCTGGGCCTTGCAAGGACAAAGGGTTTTCTGGGATATGAGATATTTTCAGGTGCATCAGACTTGTGTTTGCTCAGTGAGATGAGTTCTGCACACACCAAACAAACCCTTTAACACTTTAGGTGCTGTAACTCTGGCTGGAGTAATATTGTGTCTCTGCTGCTCTAACAATTCTGCCAAATCCTCTGTCTCCGCATGGAGGCAATTTCTAAATGAAAACAGAAAATACCTCAGTGGAATGTGCAGATGTAGAGATGCCTCAATGCAGAGGCTGTTGGCATGCCCAGGCATAACCTTTTCAAGAATGATCTGATTCCCAAGAGGGCACAATACAGTAGGAATAACACAGGAATATGAATGTACTCTGTTGAAATATCTACAGCAGGAATAATACACTGTTAGAAATGCCTCTGATAAAACTCTGCCACACAGACATTCTGTTCACAGTACTATCCTACTGATTCAAAATCAGTAAAATCCCAAAAGTCTTTGGGATTTTAAGAGTTTGAGACCTTCATGTTAATTTAGATATGTTGCATTATCTTGGCATGCAAAAAAATAAACAACAAAAACTCAAACAAACACCAAACACCACCAAAACAAACAAACAAACACACACACACACACACACACACACACACACACACACACACATAAAAACCAAGCTCATTTGCAGACATCATGCAGGAAGATTAAAATACCAGGCAGAGGTAGCATGCACCAAACTACAGATTTTCATTTTTAGAAAGATTACAGAGAAAGAAACTTCCAAAGTTATGGATGGATGTCACTGCATTGCCAATTTGAAAGAGTGTTCCTTATATTAGAAAATTAATGGGACTAAACATGGATAAATGGGGATATATATCCCTTCCATGCTCCAAAGGAACAGAACAGTTTGATCCTGTTAGAAAATGCCACCAGTCAACATTCTTGTGCTGCACCTTATCTGTGGGCAAAATGTGAATTTCATTTACCAACAGTCCAGCAGTCTCTTCATTACATTTACATACTTTTCATTCCATTTGCTTCAGGAAGAGAACCTCCCTGTCATCTCCTTGGAAGTGTTTATATTTTTAAAAAATTGAAATATCTCAGTATGTTACATAAAACCCCCTTATTTCCTGTAGAAATGGAAACACTCCTCCCTCTTGCTGTTTTGTTCAATGTTTAGAAGTTAATTGCATTAGAGTAGCTCTATTTTATGCAGTGCCATAATTGGAGTGTAGAATAATCAGGTTCTCTAATAATTTTCTCAAGAATTATCTGTCAGCACCAATAACTCATCATAAAATCAATTATGTCAGGGGTCTGCCATTCCAACTTTCAGAATTGCATGATCCCAGTCTTATGGGGATGCTCTAGTGAGCAGACAGTGGATATAAAAGTATTTTCAAACTGGTTAATCACTGACTTGACTGGTTATCATGAAATGCTGTGCTGAGTAACACTGATGAAATTTAAAAATAGCACATACTTTTCTGAGTGTGCATTTGATAAAAAGGGAGTTTTATCTGACTCCTGGTCAGGTGGGAAAATCCCTTTTCTGCCATACAGGCACACACTCCTCAGTTTTAATACTTGATATTATATACATCATTATATTGAAATTACAAGGTCTGCAAATCTAATTTAAGATACCACCAAGTTTTGTACTGCATCACTCTACTGAATGTTACAGTTCTTTGCTACTGGGAAGCTTAGAGATTTCTCTTTCTTTGAATGCTTCAGATCAGCATGGTTCTCACAGCAATCCACCCTAAATCCACCTTTTCAGTGCCAAGATCTTAATATGAATTGTCCTGAGAACTGTTCTGACAAATTAGATCTTCTAAGCACTCAGATTACAGATTCATCTGTTTAATAGCTGCATATCTCTAGTTCATTTTTTCTGCCACATTCAGAAATCTCCTTTTCAGTGCCCATGAAATTAGGGTACCCACTGACATCAGAGAGCACAAGGTACAGATTATTAGTATTTACACCAATCCTCATGTAAAAATTACACTGAAACTTTTATACTTTTGACATTTAGTATCAACCCATATGCATGGGAAAAACCTAAGAAACACTAAAATCCTATTTCCCTAATGGAGATGAAGGGCCTCAAATCAACACAAGCTTTTCCACAAGCCAGAGTGGCCATACAAGCAAAGCAGATTGTGAGTGATATACAGTGAAAAATAAGAATAAAAAGTTATAGTTTCAAATGAAGCATTTTGCACATGAAACTGCTTCCATCATACAAGCTGACCAATGTAAAGAATATTCCCAACGTGGATCCCAGTGAAGAGAATTCCACAATTTTTAATTATATTCAAGTGCTTGATAGGGAAATAAATAGATTATATTTCAAAATTATTAGCAAATTCAAGAGGAAAGTATTTATAAATGTGATCTCCACTTCTCTTACCTTTGCAATGGTCTCATGCAGGCTGAAGGAAGGATCCAGCTCTTCAGTTTTTGTTGCATGTACAGGAAAAAGAGCTTCAGAGAGAAAGCTGGAATTCTGTGAGAAAGAAGTAAAGGGCTTTTTAGGATTCCACACTGATTTCCTCCTTCAACTGGTTATTGAATTTTGCTGAAAAACCCTTCAAATATTTCTTAAATTTTGATGATTACAACACTTATTTCACTGATCTCATTAACTGATTCCAAGCCCCCAAAGAAAGCAAAAACCCTCTAAGTGTCATGATTTTATTTCTGGAATGGCAGTTATCTCTGTAATGATGCTTCTCAAAGCAGCTAAAAATTTTTGCCTACCAGAAGAAAAAAAAAAAAAATCCACACAACTTTATTCTGAGCTAAGCAGCAATCAGACATTTTATTAACTGTGTTATGATTTAAGTCTTCAGGAGAAATGTAACAACAATAATCAAGGAATCCTCTTTTATCTTCTGCAACCATCCTACTTCTCTACCCAGTTATATCATCTACATAATAAGGGATTTTTGTCAATTCCCTAAAATTATATACTTCAGATTCATCATTATTTTAACAACAGACAATCTAATATATTGTTTGTACAGAATGTTCATCTCTTCTTGTACTGTAAAAAAAGCAAGACATTATTTGCAAATAAGAAACCCATACCAAAAAGTGGACTGGAAAAAAAAAAGACAAAACAATATTAAACATACCACTAAGCCTCAAAGGTGCCCAGATGCCTAAAACAGGAATCACATGACATTGCTGGTAGATTTGCTTGTTAAATTTTTCTATAAATTAATTCCTTCGTGATCAATATTCTATCAGTATTTCCATGCATTTCTAGGAGATTATTTCTGGTAGCAAACCCCCATCACTTTCTTAAAAATATATATATAATTAGCACCACATCATATAAATTTTTGTGTTCAGTGATGCATCTGTGTGTTGCATAACTTGTCACAGAAACATCATAAAAATAAATGAAGTAATTTTTTCTTTCAGATATATTTTTTTTTTTTAGAACTCAGGGAGAAGATGCACAAAGTCATTTATTACAAAGATAAAACACATACTTCAGCATTAACTCATAACTATTCATCTTTGTTTCAGGTTTGCACAGCAGTTTACAGAGCTGTGCCATTTGACTGGGGGATGCAGAGGAACACCCTTATTCTGCTAACACTGTCCATCATCAGTCACATAAATGCAATCAATAACTTAAAGAGAGTTGCATTATTTATATTCACTCTTGAGTATCTCACCGAGAGTCAGGGAAGGGAGTGACTACCAACTTAGATTTGCTGCACAAGGTCAGATCATTGCTCCATCCAGACAGATGTCTTTGGAATAGAAAGCCTGGTGGACACTGCCTGGAGAGCAGGAGGCTCACCTGGCTCCTCTCCCACCCCGCTCCAGACCCCACCTGGGCCAGGTGAACCAGCAGCTTCTGCTGCTGCCTCAGCCTCTGCCCTTGGGAGAGCTCAGCACACTCAGGCAACCATCAGCAAATGAAGCACAACACCCTGGACATCCCAAGTGACGAGTTGTTTTGCTCATGAGAGGAATCAAGCCTCTGCTTGCAAAGATCTTGAAAAGGATTGCTGTTGGAAATAACTTGCTGACATCTGAAATCATCTTGCTGTACACTTGTAAAAGCAAATGTTTAAAACAGCTGTGGCTGCTTTTTTTTTTTTTTTGCCTTTTTTCTCGTAACAAGCTCCTCCGTAAAGAACTGCTAGAAAGTCCAACTTTGTTTCTCTTGCCTTTTGCTGTTTTTCACGCACTCTGCTCATCAGAGAAAGCTGCATGAGCTTCCCAACTAACAGAACCCACTGTTTATCCAGGGAGCACAGGGATTTGTGTGCCCAGAGAGGCATCCAGATGATGTTCCAAAAACACCTCTCAGCATTTAACAGCAGAGCTGGAAACTGAATCACACTTCTCTGTCCTTGTTTCACCAAGCTCACAACAAGCGAGTGTTGTATTTTGGCTTTTTTTAAACAGCAGTTTGCTAAGCAAATTTCTAGTAAATGCACACCAAGAGAAAGATTTGCTAATCCAAAAGCATTAAAAAGTATTATTCCTTTAATCTTTTCAGCTACAGTAGGAGCTACAGCTGCAGTTCTCTTCATTTTCTTCCACACTCACCTCCTAAACACTAATCATCACCTCTGCCCCAGCAGGCATTAGCATCACCCTCACCTTGTTCAGAGGGCAGAGCCTCCAATGGATTGTGAGTGCTCTGGAGATGGAAAAACATTTTTGAGGTCAGACCACTGTGAAACATCCAAAAATTTAGGATGAAAAAGCCTTTGCTTTTCACCGTGTTCTGTTGATTTTTCTTTAAGTTCATGGTTGGTCAAAGGAATTAAGAAGACTTTCTTTTCTGATATGAAGTTATGCTTTTATCAAACAAACTTTACAATCTACAAAGGATTGCCCCAATAATCCTTAATTTCTCAATGAATGTATTTGGTATCTCTAAGAACTCTTCACAAGAGAAATGAACAAGTGTAACACATATCTGGAAGTGAGTTTCCTTTGTCTTCTGTTCCTTTTGGAATGATCAGTTAACCTGGTCTTTTCAATACTCATTTAATGAAGCATTCTGTGAAATTAGAACGACATTGATGTTCTACTTTTCAAATAATGGGTCACTTCTGATTAAACTTCGATTGAACATTCAACTTTCAATCTTAAAACAAATTGCCTCCTTTTCTTTTTAATTTGAACCCAATTTCCTGCTGCCCTCAGGTCTTGTGACAGTAATTAATTGATTTATGAATCAATTAAATGGAGATCGAAAATGCAAGCTAAAATCTCTTAAAACCCCAAATCTGGCATACTCTTGCTTATTTATGATGGACACTTGCACTAAATTTCACTTCTGATTTTCTACACTCATTTTTCTAACTTAACTTATCCTTCCTTAACTAATTAAGTGAACAAAATGTTTCACCATCTAAAGGTACTAAATTTGCCATCCCTTGTGTACTGTCTTATACCTTCAATTTATATGCCAACTTTCAACCAATGCATTTTAAATCATGAATAAAATCCCACAGCACTTCTGGTGATTTAATGGAAAACAGTAAATACCAAAACATGCTTTAGAGACCTATTTTGCTGTTATTAAATAAGAAAGTTTTAAAAAAAAATCAAATTTTTTCACACATTGTCTTAAAACTGGAATTATTTCTGTAAATACATGTGATTTTTTTTTACTAGACCAGGACAATGCTGAACCCACAAGAGATTCTGTTTTCTTGACTATTACTTGAAATGGTAATAAGTGAAACAGTAAAATTACCAGTTAGAGAAATTGTGAATGTATGTACTCAAATTATGTAGGTAATAATTCCTTAATATGCTCTCATTCCACACCCGAACTGGTTTTTCTTACCTGCTGAATGTTCCCCTGCTTGTACAAGAAGACCTCCTTCTATTCTTAACTTGGTGAATAATACCCAAATATCTCCAGAAATAATTTTTCTGGGGTGGGGGGAAGAGGGGGAGGTAAGGGGAGGTTTTTTAGTTGTTTGTTTGTTTTGAAAGTAACAGGCAGTGGATATTTCTCCACTCAGCAATAAAGATTCTCAATCTGGAAAAACAATCTTTAGTCTAAAGTTCTTTTTCCAGTTTGACTCCTCCCTGGTTAACATTTGTCAGAACTGTCCCTATTCAGGCCAGCATTGCCCTTCAGCATTTCACAATAGTCATGGCACCAATTTTATGTTGCACAGGAGACAAAAGAAGGCACCAGGCAAGGTAAAAACAAGAGAGGAAGCAAGTGAGAGCAGAAATCTTTCTGAAATTTGTACAGGTAGGTAACAGTTATAAATGTGCTAATCTTACACTGCTAAAGCCTGCAAGGCAAATACACAAAAGAAGGATGCAAACCAAGAGAAAAATGTTTATTTTCTTCACACAGACCAAAGAAATATGTCTGGAAGATAGGAATTTAGGGCTTGCTTTGGCTGCATCAAGACTGACACTATGCTCTGTTACCTGTCCAATATAAATATATGCTGTGTGTGTTCCATGAGCATTAACCTGCTTCAGTCTTTCTGTCTTTTTGTAGTAGAACAGCACAAAAAGCAGGATTGCAGAGAACTGAGGGATACACACAAATGTGCAGTGTCTGGCAACTGAAACACAAGGCAGACACTGCACATCTTCAGAACCAGCCTGGGCACAGGTTCAGCTGGGAGCTGAAGTCACACAAGGCACACTCTGAAGTTGTGCAGTGCCCAAAATTATCACCCAGAATCCCAGAGGCTTCACAACTGCATCAGGACTTGTCTGCATCTGTATCAACATTCAACACCAGTGCCAAAAAATTGCCATAGTGTGATGGAGACAGCCCTGCCAGGAGGAAAGATAAAGAGAGAGCAGCGAGAAGAACAAAAACACCTCTGAAATCTGCACTGCAGGCTTTCACTAATTCCTTCTTCCATTTTCCCTTAGTCAAGCAATTGGCATACAGTGTCCTGGCAGAAAATATACAACTGCATTTCTTTGTGACAGAGCTGTTTCTTCTCACCTAGGCTAAAAGGCATCTCTTCCCCCTTTTTTTACTGCCTGGCAGGGTGATTGAACAAGATGTTTGACTGTAAGAAGGATCAAAAAGAGAATAATGGAAAACGTATCTCATAGACTAAAATATGGCTTATCATCATCTATCTGGATTATTTCTACTTTGGGAGGGTACTGCAGACTGAAACAGATTTACTGAAAAAGTAGATTATGTAGAATAGAACAGATTGAAGCCCAAATGTGGTTCAAATGGAATTGATGAAATAATAACAGGCATATAGGATTTTTCACTAATAAAGGGCTGAAAATATACTGGAGAAGAGATTTTCTGCCTCTCCATCTCACTAGCAGGCTGGCTTTACCCTTTCTAGCAAATGCTCTAGATATCTAATTAAATATCACCTCCAAATCCACAAAGGATTATAAAATTATGTAACAGTTTATTTCACTGATGCATAAGACATAAAATAGGTTCTTTAAAATTATTTTTATAAAGCAAAGCTCTGCAATTGCCACAGCCTAACACATGTCTTCAAAGTGAAA